CTTATAAAAATGGCGAAACTATATCAAACACTTAGTAAAAATTTAGTGAAACTAAAGGTTTTACCATTTTGCCAAATTCAAAATGAGTTTAGACAAGCAACCTTAGCTATCACCTTCATTGATAAAGTGTGTGCACATTGCAACCATAGTACCTAAATAATAATTGATATCTATTTCTATGTTTTGCTCTTTTGCTATGTTCGATGGATATTCCATATAATCCTAACTCTATACGGTATTAACCTGCCTTTCTCATCACGAAGACGGGGACCCTTCACAATAATATAGCTAAACTATTCACCAGGATCAGGAATCCTCTCATTTCTTTCTCTCATACATTTTATAAAGCGATTATTGCATAGATTTTCTTTCTTAGGTCTCTATGTTCTCATCACAATAAATTCATTGAAATCCCATTTCTTGTTTCCTGCTTCTCTAAGAGTATCTTTAACAATTATGTGAATTAGACGTGTATTATTTATATCCATAGCCTTTCTCATTATCTTCTCTCTGATGAATTTAAGAAGCTAGAATTTACCTTGCTTTACAGTATATATCCCTTTCATGAAAAGATTTTTCAGTTTAAAGTTTACTATATCTTCATGCTCAATCCCAAAGTACTTCTTTTTACCAGTAAAGCAGATGGGAAATAACACCTCTTCATATGCAATCTTTAGATAAGATGTTCCACTTTTTATCCTAAGATAAGCATTTACTTGATTGCGTAACTTACTCATCACATTCATAGTAATTTTAACCATTTCAGTCCAATATGCTTCTTTGAAAAGTTCTTCTCTGAAGAAGGCTTCATCGCATTTTTCATAATACCTATACGGGCAGGTGAGATATAAAGAATCAGTATCCCCATATTTTATCCTAAACCTTTCTTTGATACGAATTTGGCAACAAAATTAAGGTAGTATTTTCTCAATGTAGTAGTTCTACAGGCTAATTCGCGAAGATAAATTGAAGATAGTGAGTTTCCAGCTTCTCTATAAAAAGTATTCATGTATACCTTCAAAGTTTTTTGCTTTAAATCCCAATAATCTTAATCGAAGTATACAGATGAATATTCTAAATTTAATTTAATCTTTCTGGTATCCTTTTACCACTTTCTTTAGCTGAACTTATCATCTTTCCAAAATGTTGTTTTTTCTTTTCTAGTGGGACTAGACGTGCTTTAAGCTCCAGCCTCTTGTTAGCTAAATCCTCTAATACAACAGAATATAGGCCTTTCTTTTCTGTTTGGTTATCATGGCGGACGCACCAAGCTTGAACGATATGATTATTAAATGAAAACTCAATCTTATGCAAGTTATTTATATTATTTTACGCAATATTAACATCCTTTGGATCAAATATAAATTTTTCTGGAAAGAGGTTATATGCCATGATAATACTGGGATATAATGAAGCGAAATCCAATCCTATTACAGGTCTTCTACTTTCAATCCCTTTTTTAGATGGAAATACGTACGCACCAGGATATTTTCCTTTTTCTATATTTTTAGGAACCCTTGTACTTATTACCATATCTCGTTTGACAGCATATGCTCTAAGAAGGTTGTTAGCTTAAACGATTTGTTGTTAAGTTAACTAAGATTATTTGCTAACAGGAAGTTTAAGTGCGTCTAAACTATGAAAGAAATAAATACGGATTAGTTATGTTGAAGGGTCAGGTCGTCTTTATTGATATAGATTTAAAGAAGTATGAAATTGTATATTGAGCAAAG